AATTAATTAAAATATTATAATTTATATCTAATTAAAAATACAGTAAGTCTACTTACTTGTCTTTAGTGGAATTAAATAGGATATGCGAAGAATAAACCAATGAAAGGAAAACTAAAAATGCTAGAGAACTCATCTCTTTTCCTTCGAGTTTTGTCAAGTGAGCTTGAACTGAAGAATATGTTCTTGACAAGATTTGCATCTTTATATATTGTATCATCTGCCTCGAAAATTCTGATGGAAATTCATCGATATTGAAAAATATCCTAGGACAATTTAAAATTTTTACGATTATGATAATAATTTTAAAAATTTTATAAAGAAATTATACTAGTGTAAATTTTTAATAATAAAAACCTACTCATATTTAATCAGACACGTGTTTTATTATCTGTAATATTTAATCAGGAAATACACCGGTAAAAACTATGAAATTTGTATATAATCTTTAATTCAGTCATCTTATCTCATATCAGATATTTAATTTGTTGAATATATTAATAATTAGTTAATAGGTTAACTGATTTGCCTGTTTTCCAGATTTATCAACCGATCTTGTAAGCTAATGATAGCCTTATTTCATAACATAACCTTATTTTCGATATGCATTTCGGGTACTTTTTTATTTGTACCTCTCTTCAGTCTTACATTATTTTTCTACAATGAAAATTATTATAATTACCATTGTATCTACAAACTAAATCAATAATACAATTAACAGCACTGTTAAAATCACTTATATTATTCCGATTTAAAAAGTACTATAACGCTCAAACTTAAAATTGTGTGGCATCCATCTATTATGAGATTTTGTTAAAATATAAGTTTTATATTATTAATTGCTAAAAAATGGCAAAAAGTATTGAGTGTACAGATAAATTTCGTAAAATAAAATATTTATTAAGTCCGAGATACTGGAGATATAACACATGACTCCCTCTATCTCTCCACTATCTAATCACGCTCACAATATATGTTCATGGAATNAAGGTGGCAGTCTACTGCTCTGGGGGACCAGGGCTCGAATCCGAACGGGTCGAAAAATCCCCAGAAATTTTTCGGGGGTGGTCCGTTCGGATATGTCGGGCCCCGTCCTTCACCACTCGGCAGCCCCATCGTAGGCCTGGCCGAACCCATAATGGGCTTGCAAAAAAGAGGCCCTCTTAGTGCCCACAGGGCGGAAAGAGTTTTAAAAAAAGACCCAAACGTGGGAAAAGGAGAGAAAGGACAAAAGATAAAGAAGTGAAGAAGGTTGGAAAATTAAGGGTCCATATTTGCATAACAAAGTCATTTAATCCTTCTCATTACTATTTATCTTTTGGCCTTTCTCTCCTTTCTCCCCCGAATTTGGGTCTATAATTCTTTGAGTCTCAACTTTAGCTTTATTTAGTATTCCTTCCTCATTCACATATTTCCAAGTAATTGAAAATAGTTCCTTTCCACTCAAAAATAAAATATGTATAAAGGTTTACGGCTTTGTGAAACTTTATTTTTTTAATTTAGTCTGTTGAAATGAATAAATAAAATAAAATGAAAAACTTCGTCGGTTTTTACACGTTTATTGGGCCGCATTGGAACTTGCTTTGGGCCGCATGCGGCCCGCGGGCCGCGGGTTGGACACCCCTGATGTAGACCTTACCTGTATTTCCTCAAGTATGGTCTTTCCCGGGAGAATGGAGGCGATGTACAGTACGTACATTAGTTACATATGAGAAGGAAAATACGTTCTACGACATAATGAACATTAATATATACAGAGTATCTTACTGTATTACAAAATTATAAGATGTGCTTAAACGGTTCTAATCTATTTGAAACTCTTGCATGAAATTTAAGATTATAAAATCTTCATACATGTTTGAATTTTCGAATGTTTTAGTTACAGTTACTGAGTAGTACACATTCAATACCCAGCTCATTCGGCCCATTTTTAATCTGGGAAATACTATTGAAATCTTTGATAGAAACATAATTCATTCTGTCGTTGAAATCTCGATACCATTGCTCGTAGTATGAAATCAGAAAAAAGAAAATTTAATATGACGAGATTACTGTTTTTGAAAAATGTAATACAGTAGTAGTAATTTTTAAAAAATTTGAAAAAGTGATGGAGACGTTAATATAAATAGTTTTTTTTTCATGTAACTCCGCCCTGTGGGCACTAAGATTGCCGTTTTAGTATGTCCATCATGGCTTCCGTCAGGCTCACAATGGAGCGGCACGACATATCGGAATGGACTACCTTATGAAAAATTCCTAGGGTTTTTTAATCCCATCCGATCCCGGATTCCCAGAGCGGTAGGCGCTCACCCTAACTACCTGGATATCCGACTGTCCAATTATTATTATTATTATTTTTGTATTTCCTTCAGAATAAATAACCGTTTTGTTTATAATCCTTCCATCAATTTTTAGCAAAAGAAAAACGAAAACAACCTATCATCAAATATATTAAATCCTAAAATGTAAATTAATAATAATTGTTCGTGACAATAAGTAAATTAAGAATAAATATTGAGAAGCTTTCTTTCGGTAAAAATAAATAAACATACATCTTTAACAACATGTAAATTAATTTTTCTATAAAATTTTCATTAGTTCTTTCAAAAATTTTAATAAATTTTTCTCTTAAATTATATCTAAACATTGCTTTAATGTGTCGACGATGCAGTTGACTATAAAATTGTTCTTTACAATGTAAATACATTTACCAGTTAATGCCTTCAACAGATTTTGAGCTTTTACGATGTGTGTTAATCGCAGTAACACAATCTTTTTTTTACCTTTACGAAACTACAATTTGTTTTTCTTTCAAATACTAAAAATACTACACTACGAAATCGTTCGAGTAACGTTATTCAAAACTGAAGGGTTGGTTAAACACAACACTGTCATGGCCGAAAGCCAAATTAATCATGTGTTAAACAAGGCTTACTGATTATTATCTTAACAAATAGAAGAATTGGTTAAATATGTATTTAAATAACCGCATTTAATTTCAGATTATATATTTACGATTGAATCCTTCTAAAATATTTTCAAAATCGAAAATTTATTGATTTTGATAGCATCGAATAAATATGTGACATGTTAGAATGACTTTACTAGCTGATTATTAATTATGTAAAATTATTGAGTTTAGTTTCAAAATAAATTTTTTTTACCAAATTCAATTTAATCGCTAAATTTAAGCCAAGATTCTTCTCGGAAAGCAGGCTAATTAGGCAAAGGTTGTCTTAATTTTGGCATGTTATGAGACTCATGTCTCTGAAAAAGGATATCATACTGGATGTGGTAAGTGACAGAAGAAATGTAGACCGAGAGTGCATTGGCTGGATGCCATAAAAAAGGATAATGACAAGAAAATGGAGGAATTAAAAGAAGCTGTACGAAACAGAATTAAGACTAAGTGGAGAAAAATGATCCATAGAATAATCGTACTCGACTAAACGTTGAGAGAGCGAAATAAGATTGATAATTAAGATTTCTACTCTAATGTTTAGTTTATTCATACCTTCCAATGAATTAAAAAAAACTATGATTACTTTGAAATCGTGTTCCGAATCTTTAATTTGGTTTTCAAAAACACAATGCGGTATATTCAAAATGTTTCCTATGTGTTGGCCATATGGAGATTTCCAGGTTTTTAGGACTTTCTAAGGGAAACTAGCCTCTATTTAGATGTTACCAATGAAGGAAACCCAGTAAACTCCATGGCAAATCGTTGTCGAAACGCAAACCCACTACTAACGTCCAACTGTTTTATCCGCTCGACTGCTGGTAGTCCTATAGAACAATAGGATTTTTGTCCGAAAGAACAGAAAAATCTGATAACTCAATCTAATTACATATTTCCTTTAATCACGAATAATTCAGCATCTCAATTAACTAGTTAAAGATTTTAATTAGGTATTACTGTTTCATTCTTGCATTGGAAGCGTTTAATGGGTCATTCATACACTACATTGTATTTTTGAAAGCAGAAAAATAATTATAATAAGTAAATTATTCATTAATTTTCTATTTGTTTTTTAAGAAACCAATATAGTTTGACGCCATTCTCTATTTATAANTTCTATAAGTGTTACTATTAGTTTTTCACAATAAAATTCTTCAATTATTTGAAGTTATTGCGACATAAATGTTAATTATTTATTATCTCGTAAGAAATAATTGCATTTTCGATAGAATTTTGAAAGATAATTTTTTAATGAATCCGTTTATTTCTAAAGTTTTCTTATATTTTTGCATATTTACATATTTTTTTCAACTCGCTAGTTTCTTATGCAAAATGTAAAATATTAAATTCTACACTAATAAGCTATATACGTAATTATTTTTAATGTTTAAATATTTTAAAATTAATTACTACAACTACATTATTGAAATCAAATATCTATTAAAATTAAAATTACTGAAGAACTAAGTAATAAAATTACTTATATTTTACGTAATTATGTAAATAAGTGGTATTATCTGCAATTAAATTAAACCGATTATATTATTTATTTATTTAAAAATACATTATTTTGTAAATGTAGAGGTACTTTTTCATAAATGATAATTACCTTTAGCATTTTAATTATTATAAAGTAATCATTTTAACTTTTTCTACGCATTTTATAACAATAGAAATTAATTGTTTTCGCATACATGCAGCATATACTCGTTTTCTTATGTCATAATAGCCCTCATCATACGAAAGAATTAAAGTACACGTACTTTAAAGTATTGCATTTTAACTTTATTTTATAATTTTAACATTCAATATGGATAATTATAATACACCCACAGTAATAAATATATTATTAACTACAATAAAATTAAAACTTTAATTATATCATTGATATAAAAATATCAAATTCAAATGTATTGCCATCATTAAAATTTTGTTTATTTAAAAATGTTTTATAGAATTTTTTGTTTGCAAACTTGTTTTAATCTTTTAGAATTCTTATCACTTATTTTAAAAAAATATAAATCTTTGCATAAATTTATTATAGAAAGGATATCCTCAGGAAGTTGATTCAGGACTGCTGCGACCAACGGAGCTTAGTCATGACCTTGTCACTTGGTTGGTTGGAAATACTTTATATATTGTCCTACATATTAATTATATCCGCGAAAAATATCACTTGGATTAATTTCGAACGTAGAAGCAGATCACATGATCAATATGAATCTAGGCTCACTGGAATGGAGAAAAAATTATACGTTGATCTTCACAACATGTATAGAAGGAAAGTGTCTATTCCAGCATCTAACATGAAATACATGGTAAGCTTTTTTATTATTATATATTTTACAGCTGTTATTAATTGTTTCGTATTAATTAAATTAGCTGATTAGCCGAATAAAAATTATTTTAAAGTATGTTATTATAACAAATAATAAAATAATGACTAAATCGTGAATTTAAATGATTCATACATTATAAGAATGTTTATCTTCCTTCTCGAGGTAGTGTCATGTCGTGAGAATGTTGAAAAATAAGCACGTGAACAAAGTTATCGTTACTTATTCCGATGTACATTTTCTCCGTTTTCTCTTTTTAAATAGTGAATTTAAGCAAATAAAAAATGATTCATATCTTCGTTTATTGAAATTATTTATCAATCAGGATTTATTTGCATTACTATAATTACGATCTAAATGATTTTGAAATAATGTAAGTGTACTTATGAAATAAAATATTATGAAATTTTATTTTTAGTATAAAAGAATAAATTCAAAAAAATGAAACATCCTCTTTTTTTAATGAAAAAAACGATATTTGATTTGATAAGTAGATAATCAACCATATTAAGTCAGATATAACTTGTAAGATATAATAATATTATAATATTATAAATTTTTAGTAAAAATCATAGACAGTTAAATCTGAATAGCTCTTAATAACAGATCCTAAAGCAAACATTTTTAAGAATAAAATCGAAGAAAATTGGGATGTAGCCTAAGCGGATTTACATATTCATTTTTAAAAAATTTGCCGAGTAATTCTGCTTGGTTAGTTAGAAAAAAATAAGGAAATGAATTATTCAATTTGAGAGCATTTATGATTATTCGTGTTGGAATTTGTGTACAATATTGAAATATCAAAGCAAACAGCTTAAAGAATAATTACAAAAATCATTACTAAACAACTTTGGCTGCTAAGACACATTTATTTGCTTATGCACTAACGTTTTCAGCCTGACAAAAATGTTCTAAAATAGAATACAAATAGAATATAAGCAAATAAACATGTCTTAGCAGCTAAATATGCTTTAGTCATGATTTTAATAATTATCAAAACAAAATTTAAACGTTCAGCTTAACTTTGTTTACACATTTCAATAAGCAAATAAATTCTGTAAAACTTCTTTACTTTAAGAAATATTAATATGTAAAATTTAATTTTCTTTATTTTAAATTTTACTATAGTTTACTTATATAAAAATAAATGAAACACAGTTCGAAAACATTATGTCCAAATGTCTGAATACTCTGCTCACCATCATTAATTATAGGAATTTTTAACATTATTGATGGCAATTTACGAAACTCGATTATAAAATAATATAAAATACATTTGATTGATTGATCAATTGATGTGAAACACCATCATATCAAGTCTGTATGATATAATGAGAAAAATAGAAACACCAGTGTAATAGCTTACTGCTCCACATTTTTCTTTGATAATTGCATTAACAGATGTTAGAAGAGTCCACAAGACTTATGGAGATACAGCAATCTACACTGCATCAATTGAAAACTGATTCATCAAGATTATCTGGAGAAGGATGGCTGTTTCAACATCATCCCAGTGTTGTTCGATGTACAGTACAGTAAACTCACACGGAAGTATGAATTCGTCTGACCTATAACAATCTTCAGTTGTTCACTGGAAATGTTCTTTATCCGAGGATGGTAAGCTATTAATAGGGACACGAGTAGGACAACAAATGCCAAATCTCAAAACGGTTATAGATCTTTGCACAGAGAGTTGACAGCAAATTGCATAAGTTACGAATGTACAGGCATTATTAAAACTTGCTGTGATCTGAGGTAATGTGTCTGATGTTTGCTGATTACAATCTGTGAAGCCTACGAAGACCTCAAACATCAACTTCGGGATTTTATCCACAGATATGTATGCAGCAATTTATCCGGATATCATGTAGTGGCTGTAAAATATTGACACAGTTGTAAAGGAAAACCAAAATGAAGTAGATACTTCGGTATAAAGCAGATGAGCTATTCTATTATTTGTCCATGATTAAAGTACTCAAATCATCTTCCTGTTATCAAATTAGCATAAATAAATAGTTCAAAATTTGCATTGGTAGGTGATGCTACTGCTTTTGGAAGATGTTCCTATTTTTCTGATAGCCTATCAAGGGCGAGTGGATAAAAGCACTGGACACTGGTACTTGGTTGTGGGTTCATGCCTCACCAACGGGCTGGCCATGTGGAGTTTTCCGGGTATCCTTCATGTGCCTAACGCCTAAATAGGGGCCAATTTCCCATAGAAAGTCCTGTGAGGTATCCCTCCTCGGCAGATCTCCGACGTCTCTCGTTGTCGTAAACAAATAAACCAAACCAAACCAAATCTATTTTTTGGTGTGTCAGTGTATATTGAATTAATTAAAACATTTTATAAAATATTGAATTATTAAAACCTTATTCGTATATTTAACATGTTATAATATATATTATTAATAGGAGTGGAATGAAGATTTAGCAGCAATCGCACAAGATTGGGCAAATCAATGTATATGGGATCATGGAAATTTAGAACACTCCAAGTTCGACCGAATGGGACAGAACTTATACAAAGGTTATACGCGTGATCCACATCAGGCCATGAAACTTTGGTTTGACGAATATGTTTTCTATAATTTTCACGATGCTTCTTGTAAACCAAATGAGCAATGTGGACATTATACTCAGGTACAGATAATTATTTAAATATATACCTTTTTAAAATCAATATATTTATATATTTAATATATGTTTTTTTAAGGTGGTTTGGGCAAATTCTCGGTTGGTTGGATGTGCATTAAAGCTTAATTGTTGGCATAATTACAGATTTTATATTGCATGCAATTACTATCCTCCGTAAGTAGTATCTATTCTACTTTATTATATAAAATATTTTACACGAGATTTCTTTATGGTTCCTATTCTAATTAAATTATTTCGAAATCAGATTTTTGCATTATTTCCCTCTACTCTGTGGGCTTTAAGGAGGCCTTTTTTCATATCCATTGAGTTCGACTAGGCCTACAATAAAAGTGACCCACCAGTGACCGAGTGGATAAAACCACTGAACACTTTAGTTGGTCGCAGGTTACCTCATCAACGAGCTGACTGCGAGTTTTTCGCATTTTCTTCACGTATCTAACATCTAAATTGCCTATCAGTGGCTAAGCGGTCTTCGTACCCTAAACACTGGGAGTTCGGTCATTGGTTCGCGCCTCGCTCGGACGGGCTGGCCACATGGAGTTTTCTGGGTATTCTCCACGTCTATAACGCCTAAATAGGGGCCAATTTCCCTTAAAAGGCTTCCCGGAAGGCATCCTCCTAGGCAGATTGCCCAAGTGTTGTGTTGCCGTAACTTAACAAACAAACTAACTAACACCTAATAGGGACTAGTTTCCCATAATCACGCTTCCCGGGAGGCAATCCTCTTTGGCAGATCGCCCATTTGTTGCGTTGCCCTATTCCATTAACAAAACCCCAATAGGAGCAACTTAGTCGGGCGACGGATCTCGACATATCCGGGACTAGTCACCCATTAAAATTTCTCAGGTTATTTTTGATCGCTGAGATTCAATTCCGGATCTTCGAAAGCATCAGGCTGATGCATTAGCTGCCTCGGCCATTTGACCGTCATTAAGTTTTATTAGTATGAATGATACCTAATAAATGCTTGGATACATTTCTTGATATTTAAGAGCATTTCGAAAAAATATTTATTAAATTATAATACGATATTAAAATGAAATGCCGAAAGTAATAAAAGACTTAAGCTACACTCCATATTCATTACTTTTACTCATAGAAACGATCTGAAATTTCGTGGTGTCGTCTACCTACAATAAGAAATCAGATTTCAAATCCAATTTGGATTCTCATAATTTTTCATATAATTCAGATCTATGCATCATTCCCAATCTCTTATTTATTTTGATGAACAATATTATTGGTCAAACAAATTCACAGTGGATAAAATTGAGTCAGTGGTATGGCCTATAATAGTTGAATAACCGAATATCTGTATAATGGACGATGTTCTATGATAGCAAAAAATGTAATCAAATTAGTTTTCTACTTAAAACTAACNACTCCGCTGCCAGTCAGCCTTTATATTAAAACAGTAATTTAATTTAATAAATGATTTTATATAATTTGGATATTTTATAAATATTTTTAATGTTTTTCCGTGTGTTAAGTAATTGGTTTTTTTTAAATAGTTCCGTGTGCTGACGAAAGTCAAAACTGCAGACCTTGGATATGCAATAGTCCTAATTTTAATAAAAATCAATACAATCCATGCAGAAAATCCTGTGGATTATGTGGTAGGATATGTTTAGTTACATTGAATTTTATAGGATATCTTAAAATAGTTGTACATAAGCATTCATTTTTAATTTATAACTTAATATGAAAATTTTCTACTTACGTTATTACTATAAATATTTGAAATCATTGTACTTTGTAGATAAGGGGTTAAAACTAAATTTCATATAATCTTTTGAAATTTTATTTTAGAAGCTTGAATAAAAGAAATGGTAGTTTTGAAAAATTTTAAATAATCTGTATCATAAATTGAAAACACCACTAGCAACACTCCAGCACCGTGCAATTTTTAGCAGTAGCGTTGGAGGCAAATTTAAAAAATTTTTGTTATGATAGAGATCATGTCAAGTCACTATCGAGGTTTCCCTTTCAGAGTGTTTCATATTTTGGCTTTGTGTAGTAAAATAAGCTAGCTTTGTGTGTTCTTTGCCAATTGTTATGTTTCTTTGTGTGAATTTTTAATTCGAAGGCGAGATTTATTTTCTTTTTTTAATAACTCGCTCACTGATCCCCAAGTAACTTTTAGAATGGCGAACATAGAGGATACATAGAGCTAAATCTTCGATAGAAATTTTTCCACTTTTTAAAAAGTCACTGTAAGAGGCGAACAGCTGAGGAATTGAGTTGGTAAGACAACCGTAAATAACATCAAACAGAGGAAGCGTAAGTGTCTGGATAGGTTTCAAATTAAGTCTGGAGATATGAGCAGAAAAAAGAGATGCGAATGGATTTGATGACATAATAATAATCTATTTATTTGGAAGATGTTTTTGGAAGTGTCCTGAAAGAGTTTAATAAGGGAAGAATTTATGCCTTTGTTTTCATCTTACAAGACATTTATGATGTGCTGGAGAAAATAGCCTCTTGCTATGCAACTACTGTACTAGCTGTCCTGAGATTCTTATGCCAATATATCAAGCAAAGAAAATTGTAGCTGAAGAAATTTTTGAAAAACAAAATTCTAAAGCAATCCAAGATTGATGAATGTTTCGCAAAATATTGAATTTGTTGCATTGTTTTTTCTTTTGTGAGTTTTTGTTTAGAATACTGTATAGAATTCAATTGTTTTGTGTTTCTCTTACATTTCATATTAAATTTCATATTTCTACTTAAGTGATTTGCTTTTTTCTACTTTTGCTTATTTTTACTTAAGTGATTTCATTCAAGAACACCTAAATTCCTCTTTCTGCATAAAGTGACCACTTCGGTGGTCACATTAGCAGTTAGTTAATACAATATATAAACGCATTTGCTTCCTCAATCAGATTAAAATCTTATATAATATGTAAAATTTAATTATATTATTATATGTAACCTGTTTAATTTAACTTTTGAATTGAATGCGAAATAGCTTTCTAGAAAGAAAAGATTTTTTTATATAAACGTATCATCAAAATATTTCATGAAATTCAAGTTTCTAAAATACTTCTTATGAAATCATTAAGGTATTATAAGTTACTTCATTACATAGAAATAATATTTAAATCTATGCCTTTTAAGTAAAATATTTGTTCATTTATTGTAATGTAATACAGCAAATTGGCTTTCGTTTTATTGCCAAATAAAAATTACTTTGAAATTTTATAAGTTATGTTTATAAACGTTCTAAAACTTTCTATCCATTATGCATGGCATAAGATGAGATTTATTATTCGACATTTTAAATGCAATTAATGAAATGTATAATTATTAAATTAATAGAGAAACTAATTTACTTTTTGTTAAAAAAATTTTTCAGTGACAAGAAATCAATGTAAACAATACGATTTAAATTGTGGTAAGTCAGATATGATGATTTTATAAGTAAATTATATTTTCCTCGAAATTCGCTTATTTTAATTAAGCATTTAACATATTTACAGTTTATCTTAGTAGTGAATGCTTTAGCATATTCTTTTTCAATATATAATTTTTAATTTATATTATTTTTAGAGTGCAATCTGAACTGTTATAATTGCGGGACATTGAATAAGGAAAAATGCAAATGTGAATGCAAAAGAGGATGGGATGGAATTGATTGTTCAAGTAAGCAAAATTTGTTGAAATATTTTCGTAAATTTGTATTCATATTAAAAATAAAGTCTTACTTTTTAATTTGTTTCTTTTCACTACTTTTGGTCAACTCCGCTGCCGGTCAGCTTTTATATTAAAACAGTAATTTAATTTAATAAATGATTTTATATAATTTGGATATTTTATGAATATTTTTAATGTTTTTCCTTGTGTTAAATAATTGGTTTTTTTATTATTATTAAAATAGTTCCGTGTGCTGACGAAAATCAAAACTGCAGACCTTGGGTATGCAATAGTCCTAATTTTAATAAAAATCAATACAATCCATGCAGAAAATCCTGTGGATTATGTGGTAGGATATGTTTAGTTACATTGAATTTTATAGGATATCTTAAAATAGTTGTACATAAGCATTCATTTTTAATTTATAACTTAATATGAAAATTTTCTACTTACGTTATTACAGAAGTTGTGAATAAATCCAATTTGTTGGACACGTGTTGTGATGGACAGATGTGTCCAAAAGGTTACGTTTTAAATCAATATCGTCCTTGTTCGTGTGATATTTTATGTCCAGGACCAATGTGCAGTAAGTTCATCTTTTACTAATGATGGAATCTATTTTTCAGAGTTAAAATTTTAAAGTTTTAATTTCCAGAATAATATGTAATAGCATTTTAGAATAAATAATAATTATTTTTATTTTAAATTTACAGATACAGCTACAACAAATCCATCCAAAGAAAATTTAATTGTAACTCTCATAGTAATCTCTATTCTCATCAAACATTTAATGTAGGAAACTCTGTTGACTAATTAGTTTATTTAAATTATATAATTATTTATATAAACGTTTACTATGCTGTTAATTCTGATTAAAGAGAGAATTTTAATTTGAATGGGTGTTTTCTACTAATTGCTAGATCAGTAAGTAATTATTTAATAGATTCTTATCTTATAAATACTTTTGTTCTTATATTATTGGAAAGATTTGGCCATTACTAGGTTCGTGTTCTGTCCGAATACGAATTAAGAATTAAAGTCGAAATGCTAGCAAGTCAATAATATTGTTTTGGGGGACCATTTACGACGACCACTTGCCACTTGAAAGTGACATCGCCGCTGGCATAAAAATATATATATATATTAAAAAAAATTGAGTACTCTCCTGCTAGCGACCTTGGACATTGTCACTTTGACCTCACTGTCTCTCGAAAACGGAGTCATGCACCCCTACTTTTTATTACATTTTTGGATTCCAATTTCAATTAATGTAAAATGGCAAAGTTTTATCAAAATCGACACGGACAAATTTTGAGAACTCAATTTTATAACCCACATAGAAGAGGTTTCGTTAACGCTCCGCATCAATAAATTATTTAAAAATTATTCATTTAATCTAAGTTATAAAGTCACATATTTTCAATAAATCTAAATGGAGAGAATTGCTCCTAGTGTCAAGCCAAGAATACTATATACTGTATACTAGGTGATATATTATATTGCAATTAATTTAACTTTCATGTTTCATCATTTGGAGCGTTAATAGAAAATCAACAAGTAATCTCTGTGAGTGTAACTCTTTAATTTACATAGAATTGTCCGAGAATAACGTTTTAAAAAAACAGTGAGTGAATATTGTGAAGTGTCTTTTTTAATATAGACTGTCACTGAGAGTTTGGATTTTTTTTCTCATGAATGAAAAAATTCAAAATACAAACTTGTATAAAAAGATAATTACAATTGGTAAGATGTTATTACAGTGGACTATTTAAAACTTCTCATGAATTATTTAACAGTTAAGCTAATTTTGTCTATTTTCTTATATAAAATTACTGTACGGATCATTAATCATTTGGAATATATATAAAAACTAAACACGGTTACCGGAGGATGAAGTAATGAAATTTGAAAAATCATAATCGCATAGTGTAAAAGGGACGTACATTTTTATTTAAATACTGTTTTTATTTAATGCTTTTGGACAATTATCTTGTCTCATAATTATTCGGCAATTAAAGAATTGATTGTAATTGCATGCCCTTTTTCCCTACGGAGAAGTTCATTAATGCTAATTAATGCAATATGACGACAAAAATTATATCTCTTCAGAAATTGCAACATGTCGTGCTAAGAAAATATACGTTCTTTTTTGCCTGGAGAGTGAATCCTCTTAATTACAAGGTTAAAAGGAACTTAATAGACACAGAATAACACTAACGATGACAGCTTATTTTTTAGACTATACGATTTGCTTTATTATTATAATATGATAAAAAACATGTTTTTAATTATAAATATGATGCATCGTTTGTATCTGCTTAGTGTTTAACGAACTTCAAAGGCTTCGTTTAAACAAAAATGTGCCTATGGTGTTTATGAAAAAAGTGATATTACAGATAACTTTTACTAAGTATTTTATTTAAAAATAGTTCAATTTTAACAAAAATCTGAGACTCAAATATGAATTTAACAAAATTCTTTTGTTTTCTTATTCATGCTTCAATTATTTATTTATTTATTTTGGCATTTTCATTATTTTCAACTTGTTTTTCAAATTCAAAACGGTGTGCATTATCTATATACAAAAGATTATAATAAAAATACTTTTAAATAGATTAAAATCTTTTGTAAATTCATAGATTGGTGCCCAGACGTCACCGATTTTTCCTGTTTTTAATATTTGATTGTAGAATCAATCTTTGAATAGAGAAATTTTATTAGCACACCAATTTATAGATCAATAAATAAATACATTTTAAAAAATAACCAAGATCCAATCAGTTGTAGACCCTATTTTCACTGATTCTGAAATATATCCCCGGTTGGATTGAAAATGTTATGGTCAGTCTATCATAGAATCTTCGAATAAAATATTCGAAAATTGAGGCACTTTATCTACATTGAACACATTGATTGCAATTACTGAATTTATTTACAATAAAATGGTTTTTATCATAATTTTAAAATAATTTATTAAGAATAATTATGATTAAAGTAATTCTAGAAATTAAATTTATTTTTGAAGCGTTGTTCTTCTTTACATCTGTAAATTGAAAAATACATTATCAATAAAAATCTCTTTTTACAATATAAAATTAAATTCATAAATATTTAAAATTTAATTATTTTTAAAATGATAAATTAATAAATAATAAGCAATAATTAATTATATAAATCAAATCTAAATGATTAGTTTTCACTCCATACAGTTTTTGTTCATTTAATTTAAAAATGTTTAAATTACTTCTTACAATTAATCTATTTTTTAAAATATAAATTAAAATTTCTAATTGATTTATTCAAATATAAAAGCTTTCTAGTTAAAAAAAATTAATCTCAACGATCACATTAATTATCAAATATGTAAATACTATATTCTAATTAATGAGTTACAATTTTAACTGCTTGGGAGATCATTATCAAAGATTAATGTCAGGTTTTTCCACTATATCAAAGAAGTTTTTACTAAAATTGATTCAGAAACTTTAACAAATATATAAATTTACCACATTTTGGTCCTGGACATAAAATATTACAAGAACACGACTGATTTAAAACAGATCCATATGGACACATTTTTCCATCACAACATATATTTGATGACTTTACTTTATTCACCGAGTCTGTAATAATAATCAAATCAGTCATCAATATTGTTACTTTAATATATTAAATTGCATTCGATTTATAGGTAGAAAATAAAAAATAAAAACAAATAATTTATTACTGCAAAAACCACATGTCTTTCTACATGGATTTTTCTTTCCTTTAAACAAAGGACACATGTAATCTCCACAGTTCTCATCATAGTCCAGACATGGAACTATTCAATATTTTAAAATTTATTCTAGATTATTCACACATTTATTTTAAAATTTTATTCGAATTTATAAAACTGAAAAACTGTACTTGAACAATCAAGTTCGTCCCAACCATCTTTACACTGACACTTGCACTTGTGTTTATTCAATGTGCCGCAGTTATGACAGGCCAAGTTACAACCTTCAAAATTAATTAAATCAATTAAAACAGTAAGAAACAGAAATGTATTTAAAATTGAATTTAAAAATATAACTATAGTTCTAAAAATTTTTAAAAATAGAAATATAGAAAACGAAAGTATATTGTAGGACAAATTCTCTCTTAAAACTCATTTTTTATACAAAATGAAACATATTGTTCTCTCTTGTTTTCTTGACACAGAATTTTTTATTATGCCCATCATGAATTCAGCCAAGCTCACAGTGGGTCGACTCAGTGATGACAGATGCATGAAAATTTTTGAACATAGACTTGAATCTAGATATTTCATAATCTCTAGCCACTGCAGTGGCAAACCTCTTTACTATTTTGGCCATCGCTTCGTTCTAAGTGCATTTTATATTCAATAGAAAGTATAATTAATTATGTCTAAATTATGAAATTCGGAAAATTATTCGTTAGAAAATGTAACTTAGTAGCACGGTATGATTGTCAGAAATGTATAAATTATTAAATAAAATACTCGAAGTTTTACTTACCACATTGCAAAGCGTATTGAACGCATTGAGCACTTTTAACTGGAAAAAAACGAAGTGTACGTTTATTTTCTGCAGATAATTATTTACATTTTTAAGCATGAAATAAAACTTCTATAAGTGATGTTCAAAAAATGTCGGTAAAACAATAGAGACAAAGAGTTTTAAACTACTGTATTAAATTATTTTAAAATTCATTAATATAAACTATTATTTATTCACGGGTTATAAATAATAGATAATTATTTAGAACCCGATAAACTTATTTTAATTTAATTAGTTTTAATTAATTAAATTAAAATAATCAGAATCAAATAATTTTAATTATTTCATCAGAATCAAATAATTTTAATTATTTAATATCGAAATTGTTTTTGTTTGATTGCTACAAATAGTGTGAAATTGTAATATAGGATAAACATAAATATCATTTATTGACGCATGTGATATACCAGAGATTTTTTGCCATTTTCCATTAATTGCGATGAGGAATTTAAAAACGTAATAAAAGTGGGGAGTCCATGATTTCATTTTCGAGATACAGTGAAGCCAAAGTGACAATGTCTATGCTCCTAATGCGATTGAGCACGCTAATGGAAAATGGGCGCCAAAACGAACAAAATACAACAACAAAGCAATCGATGACGAGTGAATGTAAGAATCTCCTATCCGTACCCGGCATATGCAAGGATCACCTTTTTCGTGCCTAGCAGGTGCAATGATCAACAAGTTTAAGGATTGTCCTCTCGTGTAGCTAGCAAGCATTTTCTTCTGATCGCATAAACACAGACACAGTCTCTTTCTCTCTCTTACCCTCTCACACACGCGCCCTTACATACATACAAACACATGTTACAGCTCGAGTTAGACGAAGCGAAAGATAATTTATATGTACAGTACAGTAATATTTAGTACTTTCTATATTACAGATGCCTTCACACGACTTAATAGAGATCATAACAATCTTACACCAGAGGCAATACATTTATCACAAAGAACTGTAATTGATGGTAATGGGGATATCCTAAGTTTGATTAATTATCAATATAATTAGTAGGAAAAAGGAAATAAACGAAACTTTTTAAAATTAATTAATTAATTACAAAAATGCAACGTACTACAATTCTATCGCACTACGACAAAGTCGCGCTGTTTATGTTTAATAATTCATTGTTATTATTATTAATTCTTATTTAATTTTTATATTTCATCTTAACTTATTTCTAGTTTTATTCTCATTTTTCAACAGTGTAGAAACAAAAATCGAATTTTGGAAAAGGGTCGACAAGTAAATATACTGAGAACCCTTGACATAATTGAAGACATGAGTATTTGGATAAAGATGTTATATTACAATCATTCAAACCCCAATTGTCCTGCACGGATGAAAGTGTAACGTGTCTATCTCTCTTATACCACCATTGAAGATCTCAGAAATTTAACTACACATTATTTCGTGGATATATTTACACCGAAATAATTACATAATAAAATTTAAACATCAATTCACTCAGAACTTTGATTTTGTAACAACGCCTTCATCCATTCGTAGGGTTGCAGATGTTCTGGATTTTCAGGATTGCCCCGGATTTTTTCCGATAGCGACAGGAGGATTTTAAATATTTTTTTCTTTTTCCACATTTTAAATGTATCTTTTTCGCTGGCAGAGTAAAATATACATGTATTGAAATTGAAACTCCCAGTATTTTTCGGGAAGAATTCATTTTGTCTTGAATTTTATCCCCAAGTATCTACCCATTCATGACTTCAATTAATAAAAGGTTGTTTTTCCATACTTAAAAATGACTACAGAATTATAAAGAATTACATAAATTATATTTGTAAATTGGGGTTTTTCTATTATTACTTTAAACTAAAAAGTGCTGTTTTCAGAATAAATTTGCTCATACATACCACAGAGTTTTTCGGAACATAATCCTCCATCACTTTTAAAACATTTAGAACAAGATGCACCTTCTTCGTACGGTCGATGTCCAATTGTATTACCCCTACATTCTCAATATATAGAGAAAAATAAATATAGGTTTTTCTGATTTAGATGTTATACTATGTATATATTTTAACATTTGATATTAATTTCTTTAAATTAAAAGTAATTTTATTTACTCGTTCGTCATAGTTTGAAAATTCGATATAAAAATTATCATGGAGAAAACAATAAATACTCACGCGGGATAGTAATTGCATACAACATAATATTTTATTTCTTTATATTTCCAACAACCTATTTTCAATGCACACCCGACAAAACGTGTTTCGGCCCAAATGATCTAAAATATAATTAAGATTATATAAATGAAATTTTAAAATCTTAAATAAGATTAAAAATTTTTAAAAAGTTTATTTTATATTATTGATACCTGAGTATAACTTTGGCATTGGTTAGGTCTTCTGCAAAAATTTCGTTTAAAATTATAAAGTTCGGAATTTTCGGTCCAATATTCCATGGAATCTTGTGGATTACGAGTAGAACCCTGGTATAAATTCTGTCCCATTTTTTCTTTAAGGCTAGGATCTGCGAGATTCCCTTTAGTCCAAATGCATTTATCTGCCCAATCTTGTGCGATCCTTTCTAAATTATTGTCCCATTCCTAAAAATAAAATATGATTTTTGTTTTAATTCAATAACGTTTTACTTTCCCGACTGCTATGTCTATAACATGGAAGAGTATTGGAATAGTATTAGAATAGTGTCAGATTTGACTCTTTGGGTTTTTAGCAAATCTCCACGTTTGAAGATCCGAACTCAAAAAACCAAAAGAAGAGAAAAAATTCGTGTGTATATGCTTTTATTTTGTTTAATATCTCGGGATGGGATAATGATTAAAAAACGAATATGGCACGGTATTCATGCTATTCAATTTTGGTGGTAAAAGTTGGAGGGGTGAGAAGATAGACACGTTAAGAGGGGTGGAAAGATATGTCTTACCGCAAATGAGATCAGATTTAATGACTATTTTACTCGTTATTAGCATTCACAGTTTTGTTTCTTTTTTATAAAACTCATCTCTACCTACAAAATTAAGCTTTTCTCCATTTTATAATAACAAATAATATAAAAAGTTATTTTAAATAAAATATCATAACAGATAGCGCCATACACAAATTTAAATTTTTTGTCGAGAATATTTTTTAAAAAATCCAATTGTTAGAAATATTTATGACATAAATAATTTAAAATATGAATTAATCAGTTATACGAATAATTAGAGTTTACTTTTGCTTATTAACAACATTATATTTTTAAACAGATAATTTTTAATACTGTATTTAATTTCGAAAATAATTTTTAGTAAATCTTTCTAATTATTCTAATTCAATGATTTAATGAATCCGAAATTGTAAAGTTTAGTATTTGTTTTTAAATTAAACTAACAATTTAATTTAAAAATTCGAATTTAATGTATTTTTGGAACTTACAATGAATTGCATATTGGCAGCTGAAGGTGTTACATTTCCCCTGTATTTGTTATGAAGGTCAATAAATAAATATTTTTCCTGTTGGGTAAAACGAATAAGTTCGTTTTGCTGTCGAACTTGTGACATTTCTCTGAATTCACTGTTCATCGAAGAATTATTTTGAGCGGATAAAAACGAAATAATACGTAGAACATGTAAAATATGAAGCTGCAATTTCATTGCGTTTACTTCATTCTATAAGGCTCGTCGCTAAAATGCTGAAAAGTATAATAAATATATTTAATAGTTATTTGGAAAATTATAAAATAGTTTTTATTTAAAATTTTTAAAGTATAAAAAGTTTTTTCCTTGTAAGATTGTCTGTATTACAATCAATATAAACAGAAAAACAATAGTTATCAATGATGATGCCGGACACAAGAGAATTTTTAAATTAATGAACTAAGAAGTTTTAGAATATTATTACATGTGAGAATTTTGTAGAATTTTTTTTCCTTTTAATTCTTTATTTATATTTTTAACTCATCAAATGATATTCTTCTGGAGAATTTATGATAAAGTCCAGGTCAGAACCTCAGAAATTTTCACGGATGATTCGAACCGGATATGTCGGACCTCGTCCTTGATCATTCTTTTATAAAAAAATAATTGTTTTCTGCTAAAATGATGGCATTCTACTATAAAAATTTAAGGGTCAATTTCAGAAACCACGCTAGCCTAAACCATTGCTCAGTTTGTTTGGTTAAGTTATGGTAACGCAATACCGGGCGATCTGTCTAGGGGGATGCCTTCCGGGAGATCCTTTAAGGGTAACTGGTCCCTATTTGGTCGTTACAGAGTGAGGAAAACCCGAAAACCTTCACGTGACCAACCCATCCGGGCGAACTAAACTGCTTGGCCACTGGTGGGCCTGTAAACCGTTGCTCAGAAAATTCTGCCAACAACTAATCCTAATCTTCCAACAAACGATTGATTATCGTTCGCTATTGTTCATTTCGAAAGTCCTGAATAGAAAGAGTTAAATCACCGCATAAGTATAAACTTGTTAATGTAATCGGATTAAAAAGTCTTAAATTTTCTATCAACAGTGGCATAATGGAACTTCATCAATTGGCTCTTATGGCTACATACATCATTCAGTCTCTATGTCTATCGCATATCAGAATAATTGTAATCCAGCTATCAAAATAAATTAAAACCTGTGTAAATCGGAATTGTACAGTACCGAATTGGTACGTTTCAGTTCTGAACAGGTTTTCGTTTTATTCAGGTTCCGTTTTGGACAGTTTTTAATGTATTGAATGTCATTTTATACGAAGAATTTTTTATTTAACTTATCTAATATTGTAACTTTATTAGATATATAAACGTATATATTTTAATGCTATGTTAACGTTCGTATATTCATTATTTCCATTCAAAAATATTTTATAATTATTCGATTTTAGAAAATTACATAAGACGTTCGTAATATCTAGAACTAAGAAAAATCTATATCTTATTATGAATGAGATTATGTTAATATTAAAATGACGAATAAGAATCTCTCATTTTATATTTGTTTATAAATATTAAGAATTAATCTAAATTAAAATTATAATAATAATATTGCAGAATATACAAACTCATTAAGATATTCGTTTATATTATGGACGATATAAAATATAATAACATAAATAATTTTCTAAAAATTAATTAATGCTTATCTGAATATAGTTTTGAAAATTTAATATAGGTCTATATATATGTGTGTGTGTAAAATATGATCTTACATATTTATAATTTGTTTTTTTGCTGTTGTCCTTATTTTAAATTTAAAAGTTCCAATTAGAATTTTTTTTAAATTTAAGATAATTCTTTTTAAACCTTGAAAAATTAATTAAAAATTAGATATATTTCATTAGGTGCATTTCAAAATGTTTAAATTTTGTTTCATTTTTTAAATTAAATAAATTTAAATCGTTTTATACTGGAGATTTCTTCCCTGACGCCTTCCGTGTCCCAACCCGAAATTTCACGCTGTACATTTTTGTAATTTAAAGAATTCTTTGTAAACAATATTAGCTTTATATATTATTTATGCTCGTTTAATCTATAAAATAAAAATTTTAATTAAAAGTATAATCAATAATAACAGGCTCACAAACGACCGAAGTAGATAAAACCACTAAACACCAGTAGTTAGTCGTGGGTTCGCGCCCCGCCAACCATTTCGTTTTTAACTCTTTCCACTCTGTGGACACTAAGATTGCCTATTATCATATCCATTGTGGATTAGTCCAGACCTACAATGGATCTGTCCGAATCCACGCGAGTTGTAGTGGACTTAGCCTCAACATATCCGGAATGGATCGCCCATGAAAAATTCCTAGAGAGTATGTGGATTCGATCCCGGCGGGTTCCTCAGAGTGATATGCCCTAGCTTCATCTATCTCGGCCACCTAGCCGTCACGAATTAATAATAAAAATGCCACGTTTACTGGAATTAACACTCAACATGGAATGATAGTAAAACGCCTCATTTGCAAGTGTTCTGTACAAGACATCAAAGTCACGTCACTCTTCACATTCCGAATTCATCAGTTAATAACGTCATATAAAAATGTAAGATAAATTGGGCAGAATCCTCTATGAAACATCTCAGAAAACTTCCAACTTAACAGAAAGAGTTTTGTGCAAAACTGTGTTCACATACATTGCCATTGTCTCAGTCACTCAAACCGACTGTCTGCACAAATATCGTACGAAGAACTCTTTATGCTACGAGTTACAACGGTCGTGTAGTTGTTCCCAAGTCACTGATCACCGTATAAGGAGCGTCTCCTTATACGGAATGTGACTATACGACTATAAGATTGATAGTGGAATACGATATAAAAAAGTTATCCAAAAGACGAATTTTTGAAACGCCATTGAATCACCATTTAATCTCTGTTTGGAACTCTACAATAAGGGATTAATTCGTCATCACTATTTATAATTGGCAGTTGATGTTGCATATTTTTCCAAAACTATCAAACTATGAGTGATTTGCCTTAGATCTTGGATATAATTTCGATAGAGGTTTCTGAGAATGAGAATTTGTTTATATTTATGAATTTTTCAAATTAGTTAATTTTTTACAAATCTTTTACGATTTTAAAAATTCACAAAAAATTAACGAATTCGATTTTCAAAATTGTGTATCGTACTGTAATAGAAGAATTAAATAAAATTCTAATGCAGAAAACAGTTTGGTTCCATCTATTTTCGTTTTCTAGAACTTTTGAATAAGAATTTTCCTATAAGCCTTAAGTTAGTTTTTCCGAGGATCAGAATTTTTATTTTAATTTGTTGTGAAAGTGTTTGTTGATTAATTAGGATACTCATCTGAGAATTTAGCAATAAGTTTGATTAAACAATGTTACCTGAAACTTCTCGTTTCGTATCGATTGTTTCGACCACGTTGAATTTTTTTCCAATCTGACACATCAATAGAATAGTTAGGAAATTAATTAATTTTCAGAAAGAAATTACATGAATTATCAATTATTTCAAACTCATGTTGAAAGTAATCAATGTGATCGTTGCAATGTTTTGTTCAAAGTGAATACATCCGTTGAGAATGATTGTAGTTTACGGTTGACTTGAACAGGTATTTATCTGATGTTTGTACAAACTTGTATATGTGTAGGCTACTTACCAGTTTCATGAATGAGATCCTAAGATAAGATATTGGATCAGTGTGTCGAGTTGCAGATGCTACAAGAGAGAATATAATCTTGCAATATGTTAATGTCTTCCTGACGGAACACATTTTGAACACATTGATAGATTGATCCACGATCACTCTAACAAATGTTCATTTTGTTCCTCTGATCTTTGTTAGCTCTTTGTGAACATGTTTGGGATAATTTAGAGCTTTGTTCCTAATTTCTTCAAAATCTACTAAGAGTCAAAGCGTTTTGATGAACAATATTGCACTTTGTATATTTTTTAAATAACATTGTCAAAAGATCTATCCAAAACATAGAGCATCAGTTAAAGTACGTAATTCGGACTATGACCATATTTAATGTTTTTAGTGTTATTTTTACATTAATTATTCTTATAATTCATAATTTCCCATTGTGTTCTTTTAAGCATTGTTTAAATAACTTATTCTGCATTTAAAAAAACATAATTAGTAACATTTCGGCATCATATTTTATTCTAAACACAACATAATTTCTAAGTAGTTTTACAAAATTCATTTTCTTTCCAGATTTATTATATTGAATTCACTCTGAATTCATAGATTCGTGCTTAATTCTAATTTATAAAATTAAATAAAGATATATGTAATTTTATATATTTAAACTTTATCTAATAAAAAGCTTTACAGAAATTTTTTTCTTTTAATATAAGTAGAAAAAAAGACTTTGATCTACTAGACCTGAGTTTATGTGGTAGTCCTGTTAGGTTCACGTAGAAAGGACTCAGATGACAATATTTATTTTCTTTTTACACGTTAAATTCAACTTGTGTTTAAATTGAATTTGAACTAAGTTTTGAATATTTTGAAATTTATATGCAAGAAAATATAAACTTTATAAAAATATTTATTTCGTGACTGTGAGTAAATGAGTCAGTTTTCTATATTGATAACAGATGGCGATACTATGTATTTAAATTTAAAAAATTTAACTAAAAATAAAATGCAACTGTAATATTTTAAATAAAAAAATTAACTTATTTGATTAAAATATTTTTGTCAAATCAAATCTATTTTTTTAATATAACTGTTATATATAAATACTTAACTTTTTAAAATCGTTTGGGGGACATGTATGATTATTATATGTCCTCCTTTTCCCGGACGCATCTTTTTTCAACGTAAAATTTTTGTACATGGGAGATATATTTAAAAAGATAGAAAGATAGAACATAAATTATTAATGAAAAATGAAATAATGAAATTATTTGCATATAGCCTATATATATATTTATATATATAGGCCTATATATATAAAAATAATTTTATTTTACATGTTTATATATAAACATAGCTTGACAAACATATTTAATGCTTGGTTTTCATACATTTTCTGATGATAAAGTTTTGTGTAATTATGTTCAACTTTGTCTAATTATATTCTAATTAATTTCAAAAATTACTTCATAAATATTAATAACAACCATTTGCAATTACTAAACTGAAATTGATATCTTAACTTTATTGCAATTTTCTAATGGTGAATAAAGGTAAAATTTATTTATTTATTTATATTTTTAGTGACGAAATTAAAATTTCAGTAGGCAAATGCTTACTTTGTATGAATAATATATATTCTGGTCTAATATTATTCAGTGATTATGTTCATGAGTAACATTGTATGCATATATATATATATACAGTATATTAGTTTAAAATTTAAATTTTTGTTAAATACAAGAAGTGAATTATAATTTGAGGGACATTATTAAAGATTATGCGTGTTTAGTTGCTAAATTTTATAATACTATTTATTTTTTATATTGTTATATGTACCATATTTCATACAGGGTGGCTCATTAGTCAGGTAATCATTGTAAACACTGAATTGCCATTGTAAATATACACAAATTACAAGGCTTAATATGCTCGCAGGTTGCTGATTTTCTTGTAAAACTCATAGGTAAATGACTTTTAGTACATCCTGTATTATATAATGAATGTATAATAATAATTTTTAATCTCACTTATTATATAAAATGATGTGAAATGTAATTTGACCATCATTAAAACTTCTGTACTTAAAATGTTTTGTAGAAAATCAGTCGAATAAAGAAATAAATATAAAAAAAAAACTCCATTCGTATATTGAAATTCAAATAAATTTTAAATTAGTTTGATAATTTTTCATTTCATGTCATGTAAAATGACTTTTTTTAAAAATCAATTTATAAATTTTCTTCGCGCATTATAAATTTTGCACATGTTTAATTTGAATAATTTAACCAATTGCACGCAATTTAAATTGTACGTTTAAATAGAATGATTTTACAATAACACGAATTTTAAAAATTTTTAACTAAATTATTAAATTTATCTATTCAATTGCAAATATTGTCAAATGAAAAAAAAAAAACTTAAATTAATATAAGGTAAAATAGTTTCATATTTTTGATAACAGATGGCGACTGTGAATCAGAAAAACTCTCATCAAACAGGATCACTAGTAAAAAAAAACAAATAAATAAATAAAATAAATCGAAACGACAAATATATACAATGATTTATTCTCAAGACAGATTAAAGAATTACACATTTGTACAGAAAATAAGTTAGAATTTAATTAATGTCGTGTATTGT